AGTTTCGATTTCACAACGAAACACACAGCGCCTTCACGACATGGCGCGGCAGCAACAACAATACTACAGCGAGAATATAAGTTATGCCTTCTTTTTTTGCGTGAACATTTGGGCGGCGTTATACAAATCTTCCCACATCGTGACGTAGACATGTGGTGGCGTGTTAGAACGAGCCGTTTTAGGTAGGCGTGGTTGACTCTTCACTTTTATAAAGAATATCTCTTTGGATTTGAGACTTTAGTCTTTGCAACTTTACAGATCTTCTTTATGCACCAAGAGCTTGTAACACTTCAAAGAGAAAGGAAAAATTGAAATCGCATCATATGACCCCTTTAACGAGTGACGACACCCATTCACTGCTGAGGATTCATTATTGAGCAAGTGATGTAAATTTCTCTAAATCAGATCCAATGAAGAAACAAACTCATCTACATCTTGGATGGCCTGAGGGTGAGCAAATTTGGGTGAACTATTCCTTAAACACCAATATGAATCCGCAGTTTATCATGTAAACTGATAAACTTAGCTATCAACTAGAGGGACATGACACTCAGGGCTCGTATTTCCACATCCTTCCTTCTAACATAATATGCACTTATCTGACTAAATGGATAAATAATCCTCTACTAATCTCTCCAACAGTACTAGATGGTTTGTATTCCATGCTCTATTTTTACCAGGGCTTAAAGTAAGGATTAAATGAAGTAGCTGCCAAAAGGTAGTGTGAAGTACTGCCTCCTTCATAGTGACTGTAACTTTGATTTACTGTAAGTCATTACAGATCTTGTTCTTTCCCCCTTTTTCAGTTTTTATACACATCGCTTCTGTAAATAAGTATTTTGCGTACTTGATATCAAACCCTGTTATTTGTTATACTTGATTAATGTGGCAGAATATCAGTCAATCAGCACAAAAGCATTATGCAATTCTCGTTGAGGTCTAACAGCTCTGCAGAGAAACTGCAGGAAATATATCAGCAAGTAAAAGGTCTATTGTAAATTACACAATTTTCTCTTCTATCTGTTTCTTTTGCTTTTAATCACATTTGTACTCTAGCAGCTTTATTCAGGTCACCTCATGCAATTGTAAATCACTGTGATTTTTTGTGCTCTAAATTTCCGCATCATTTATTTGTCTGAGTTGTAGCAGGCAGAGTGCACAGAACCAATAATAAGCAGGTATTTTTAGTGTTTAATTTCCTTTCATGATTAGAGACTTCATTAAATTCTTAGTTCTCAGATGAAGTCTGCTCCAAAGTTAGAAGACAAACCAAAAAGTGAAAGGTTGTTGCTCTTGCTGGCTAGAAACTTTAGTATGACGAGGTTTGGAGCAAAATGGAATTTTGTATTTGAAAGTTACTCAGTAAAAGTAGGGCCTATATCAAAAAGGTTTTTGTGTTTTGGTTTAGTTTTTTTTTAAGTGAGTTGACTTTAGCATACAACAAGTATGATCGCACGAACTTTCACATTTTCTGATATCAGTAAAGATACATTTCTTAAATTTGAGCAACAACAACAACAAAAAATAATAATTTTCAGTTCCAGTGAATTTTCCAATTGTCGGGTGTAGAATTTTCCTTATGGTTTCACAGGTAGGCTTAATCATGAACGTTGATTCTACTTAAAGCCACATGAGGGCGGTGTATAGGCAGTGCAGTCATTCCAGATGGCCTCATTGCTTCATTCTTGGCCTGCCAAACAGACGTTATCGACAGAGCAATCCAGCTGATGATAGATCCTCATTCAGCTGCCCTCCTGCATGGATGAATTCGGGAGAACTGTAAATGAGGACTGGCATATGGTGGGTAATTTAGTGTGATTTACATATAAATTGATATAGAAAGAGAACTCCCATCCGTTCACACTTAACTTTCCACTTGTACTCGTAGCTCGTTTTAGTTGGGTTCAAGTTCAGAGCCGAGATTTTCAAAAAATCCGATTTTTTTAAGGCACGTGGCGCGTTCATCTGGCAGTGCCTCAGCCATTAATGGCGCGGGAAAGAAAACAAGCGGGATAACACGTTATGGAAACGGTTACAATCATAGAAGTTATATTAGGTTATATAAACACTAATAATAATAATATATATTAATAATAACAACAATACTAGCCTACTACTATTACTAATTGATGTATGTAGTAGGTGATAATATACAGTATGACATATTTAGGTCACATCTTAATTGTTATGTATGTTTTATGCCCAGTTGTTGATTTATTAAAACGTCAGGTTTTATTTTTTTTCAAAAAGTTTTACTATACCTCTTTTTTTTTTTTTTTTTTGCTTCTGTTCATATAGGCTATAGCTAGTTGGGGGACACCGGAGATGGTTGTAACAAGGGTCAGTTAACACTTCCAATTTCTCAAATAAGGAACAAGTTACAAACCACCTAATTCACTTCACACATTTTCATTTTAGTGCTTATTCCACATGTGAGGAAGTAGAGCCCTGTGGCAGGCAGCAGAGTTTAGAGGAGAAAAACTTATTTTGAGGTAAAAAGTAACTTTTTATACTTCATTTATTTTTGTGATGGTAGTCCCTGCTTTGTAGTCAAACTCATCAATGTTAAATTGTTCATTTTATGTCTGTGTAGATGTTTTTCATGCAGATTGTTAGTGCTAATGCTTTGGCTGTTCGCTGTAAGGTGAGCTAGTTCATTGCTACAAAACTCTGGGTTAGTTGTAGCAGCAAGTCGCGGGGTTGGTTGTAACATCAATAAAACATGTTATAACTTACTCCAAGCTAATTTTTTGTTTTATTTAAAAGTTTTCTTTGAATTTCAGTATGCCTAGGTCTTGGAAGAGAAAGACAACCGAGAGGTGTCTATAAATGTTCAAGTCAAGTGTTCAAGTTCAGTTTTATCATGGCCAATTACTATGTCTGACCCCAGATAGCACAGGTACGTCGCGGAGACGTCTGTGAAAGATCGTAGCATCTGGTAAACATCGCAATCGATCGAACGTTTTCAGTTGTTAATGAGCCGTCTTCTTTACCTCTATACGACGTCTATACGATGAATCTTCAACATCTGAAATTACGTGCTGCCACGCAGCGCCGGATCGGAGCAAGCTGATGAATGAGTAAAACTCCAGATTTTAACGCAACAGCATGTCACACCAGACGCGACTGTTGGTGCAAAGAGCTTGGATTACGCCAAAAATAGATCAAGGAATCATTTTACTGACGGGGATTTGTCGAGCCGCGCCGCTTTCAGTGATTATAATGGCTTTTATTCTTTTGTTGCGTTGCATCGCGCCGCTCGCGTCTAACTAGACACATGTATTTTATAATAAAATACAAATACAACAACAAACACACACAGGAACACTCCACACACACACACACACACACACACACACACACACACTTATTTATGTACGTTATTCAGCTTTATTATCATGATGCTAATGTAACACACCAATTTTGTTGAAAAGTCAGTGTTGAATAAAAAGCTTTCAAACTCCATTTTATTTGTCATAATCCTTATTGCATAATGTTATGTCTCACACTGGTGGATATCATAATGTAACATCTTACCCCAGGGTATGTTACAACTAAGTTGGACTATGGGGTGCATTGTAACATTTCACTCCTCGTGTTTGAAACTAAACCATGCATTTTCTGTTTGTGCTGCAAAGATAACAGCTATGCCATTTAATAGCAGACACTTGTAACTAATTTGAATCACATTTTGAATGCACTGGCTTAAAAGAACCCCAAGATACAGACAGAAACGTCAAAAATGTTACAACCATCTCCGGTCTCCCCTATTGTTTATTCTTGTCCCAGACCCAGATTAAACAAAAATTCATCATAAAAATATGAATCATTACATATTTAAAACTATGATCTAAACAAATAATTTTTGCTTTATATTAAACATCAACATATAGGGGACCTATACCTATGTTTCCCCCCCCATCATTAATAAACACCTCTGAAATATTTGTATTTGTATGTTTTTCAGGCATTTTCATTGTAGCTGTTTGAAAGTTCAGTGACATTATTAAGCATACACTCACCCTTCATTCCTGGTGACATGATGGACTGAAGAGGACATTACAACATTTCTGGTAAGGTTTAGAATGCTTACAGTTTTTTTTATTGTGCATTCTGCTCTGTACGGGTCAGTGGTCAAAAAGGATTAATGGATGCACACTTTAAATATCTATTGTAAATATCTATCATCTGGGTATTTTTGCCTTACTTTATTCAGTGTCTTCATTGTGATTTCAGATGTCTAATCGTGTTGTGTAGTTGTACTGGGCTAATTTGTGTGAGTCAGATTATTGAGATGCTTTAAATGTGTAGTGTTAAGAGGCCTTCATGAGCAGGACAGTGTTTCCATGAAATAAAAAATGTTTTACCAACAAAGTGTAGAGATGTTGCGTTTGCACTTTTTAACCGATAATTTCATAAGGCAAGCTTATTATTGTGGCATGCACTGACAGTTTTGCTGTGGTGTTTAGACAATCCATCTGAGCTATGTCTGTCTGTTTTTGCTGGTGTATTCCCAATAGTCAGAGAGCTGGATAAGGAAGGTGAGCAGTCATGTCAACATCTTAATTCTGATCACAGCGGCCTACTTTACACCCGGACTGATGCGAGGAAACAAGATTATATTTTTGAGTAACAGAGCTGAGATGAGGGTGACTGATGTGGCACTGTCAGAAACCTCCAACACAGCCGCAACACTCTGATATTTTCATCACGTAGTGGCACAGTTGTCATTTCAGTTGTGAGTTATCAATGAAGCTTATTGGCCTGGGCTCTTCATCACACATGGTTAGGTGCTGCAGAAATTGGATTGTGTGTGAGATGGAGAGATTGTAAGTGAGCGTGGATGTTAAGGATGTGAATTTTGAGAGTAAATGTCATTTTGCATAATGATCATCAAGTATATTTGTGGCACAGAGTCAGATTTACATAGAGTTAAGTGGTTATGCAACTTGTCCAAATAGTAAATTAAATGATTGACATAAAGGTTTATTTCAGTTTTAAATCTTTTGATTCATCTTGGCAGGACTGTAATATAAAACTTTGATTGAATAAATCTTGCCTTTCTTAATATCTAGTCTTAAAGACTAGCAACAATAACCCAAAAATTAACCCAAAATTAATGTTTTGTAATTATTTACTAACCAGCCTATTATATTGTAACAATGCTGTTTTTTCCCTGTGGAACACAGACGAATCTTCATGCACAAATTTTCCACAAATAGTTTTAGCACCATAAATGTGGTCCATTAGACTCGTGTGACTAAAGAAGACTTGAAGAGCGCACCTTTGTATGAAGAGCTGATATTTAAATATTCATTTGAGAACTGCTGCCACTGGTTTGCTGAAACAGTTCCCACTGGTTCTCAGAGAGAACTGTTCATGAATCAGAGTTCAGCTGTCAGACTCGATGGTCCGTTTGCAAGTTAACAGCTCATTGAAAGTCACCAGATGATCAGTGAATTTTGACTAAAATATTAATCTGTTAATCTCAAGATATCATATGACTTCAACTATAGTGCTCACGTAGTTCAAAAGGCTGGGCCCAGTAGGATTTTTTTGAAAAAAAATATTACTTTTATTCAGCAAGGATGCATTAAACCGCTCAAAAGTGACAGTAAAATAATCAGTTTCAAATAAATGTTCATTAGATAATCCTGAAAAACTGCATCACAGCTTCCACAAAAATTTTAAGCAGCATACTCTTTTTCAACGTTGACTAATATAAAAGTTTCAGCATTTTAAAATGATTTCTGAAGGATCATGGGAAACTGAAGACTGAAAATTCAGCTTTGCCATCACAGGAAAAAAAAGATGTGAACCTGGACCACAAAACCAGTCTTAAGTCGCTGGGGTATATTTGTAGCAATAGCCAAAAAAACATTGTATGGGTCAAAATTATTGATTTTTCTTTTATGCCAAAAATCATTAGGATATTAAGTAAAGATCATGTTCCATGAAGATATTTTGTAAATTTCTTACTGTAAATATATTAAAACTTAATTTTTGATTAGTAATATGCATTGCTAAGCACTTCATTTGGACAACTTTAAAGGCAAAAATATTTTTCTCAATATTTGGATTTTTTTGCACCCTCAGATTCCAGATTTTCAAATAGTTGTATCTCGGCCAAATATTGTCCTAACAAACCATACATCAATGGAAAGCTTATTTATTCAGCTTTCAGATGATGTATAAATCTCAATTTCGAAAAATTGACCCTTATGACTGGTTTTGTGGTCCTGGGTCACATATAATATATTAAAACACAGTAATATTTAATATATTAAATCATGATAATATTTCACAATATTACTTCTTTTTTTACTGTTTTCAGAGACTTAAAAAAAAAAAGTATTAGGCCTACAGACTACTGTTTGAACAGTAGTTTAAACCAGTTTTATGTTTGTTTGTGTGTGTGTGTGTGTGTGTGTGTGTGGTTTTCTATTAAGCTTAACAGCCATGTACACTAAGATCTGTCATTGCACATAAAAGTTCTGTTCTGTGATCCGGAAATAGATATTTTGATCATAAGGCAAAGTCACTCGGGTTTGGAACGACATCAGGGTGAGCTACTAAAGACAGAAAGTTTCTTTTTGGGTGAGCTATCCCTTTAAAGTCTTTTCATGTTGCCTCTATTATAAATTACAGTTTCTTTTACAGTTTGGCAGCATGACTCTAAAGAGTCAACTAATTATAGAAACCTAATTCTCAACTTTATCTGAACCTGCTGTGGGAGGAATAAAAATCTCCGGCTCCCATCTGTCTTGGGACTTTGGTTTGACAGCAGAACATCCTGAAAATTGGGCTGTTTTGGGATCTCGCTACAAACACAGCATTAGTGTTGGTGTGAATCCCAGACGCAAACACCAAGTCCCTGCTGAATAACTAAATGTGTGAATTATACAGTGTGATTCACAAAGCAACTGACACGCAGACACCGCCGCTTTGTAAAAACGTAGTACGTGAGGGTAAAATAAATCGCTTAAAGCGAGCACAAGCCTTTTTGTCGTCAAGTTAAAGTCTTGGAAAGGGTCACAGGGGCCACATGATTTGTCAAGGACAGCGGCGGTCTCCATTAATATAACATTAACCTTTCCTCACCCACATCTTCCTTCCCCAAACCTCTGCTTTTGTCTTCATTAGATGCCATGACGTGTTCTCTGAATAGCTAGCAGTGCCTGTTAGCAGACTCCGAGCATCAAGTACCCTGTGAAGACTTTGCGTCTGTGAAATCGCTTTTCTGGCCGGGTAAGATGGAGAACATTGTTATCGGAAAGGCAAAAAGCTGAGAAATCCACTGAATATAGATATTTTCAGTAACCGTACTCTAGCTTTGTATCCGAGCAGATAGTTTCACGGGAGCAGATCTACTTTTTTCAGGTGTGGGATTTGTTGTGCCTTGTCATCACAGAGCAGCGATGGGAACTCAGCCATCACTGTTGTTCACCTCTCATGTCATTCTGGGGATGGATTGTAAGGGGATGAAAAAGACAGCAGACAAGCTCGAGATAGAAGGCTCAGCTGAACTGTCAGATATTCTGAGCCTCTCCATGTGAATAAGACTCCTTAATGTCGGTAACCTTGAGGTTTGTGTTTGCTTTCCATAGAAACAGACTGCTGAATCTCGGTTCCCCTGGTAACCTGCAACGTGAGGCAATCCAACTGGTGAGAGCGGCATGCTTATTGACAAATTCTTCCTATACCAATTGAGCAAATAATCTGATGACGATGAGAGAGACTGCAGGTGGAGCGGCAGGAAAGTCTGAGGCGGAAGCTCTGGCACAGTCTTGCTTTATACATAAAGCCTCTGTGTTGCTTAATATTCTCCGCACCTCTGTCCTTCTGGCTCTGGGACTCTGGCTTTATCTTATTTGAGGATCTTATATTCTTCAATACAGTCTTCCGGTTGCTTAAATTCTCAAGCATTTTTTGACAGTGCAGGGATTTGCCTGAGCAAAACTCAGCTGACAGAGCAGGAACAATGAAGACTGCATCTCCTTCTGGTGCAGATATTGCACGAGTGATGCACCGCTTTGACCTCGGGGCTTGGCATGAATGCGCTTCTCGCTTGTTTGTTTGAACAAAAGCGGTAATATGCGTCAGATAAGTTCGCCTAGTGTCTTTTTGTAGTCTTTGAAGTGAAGCTGTGAGTCCAGAGTCCTCAGATGCCTTATCAAATAATGAAAGTGCTGGGGTTATAACATATTCAGGTTGTTTGGTGAACACGCAACAGATACTGGTTGTAAACAGCAGAGGGCAGTGTTCTCTTTGCTTCGCGGAGAGCTCTGTTCATCCATTGTGTAGTGGAGTCAGGTGCAGGCTGTTTGATTGTAGGTTTGATTCAGGTTTGTGAAAATGTTTCAGACATTCCAGGCATTATCAGAAGCAATCATGCTTTGTTTAGCACATGTTTGTTGAATAGCTAAAAAGATATTTTTCAAACCAATGCAAAATTCAATGACTACATCAAGGATGTCACGAAATTTCAGGTTCAGGTTCAGGAAAAAGTGTTTTTTAACCTTTATTCAGCAAGGATGCATTAAATTGATCAAATGTGACAGCAAGGACTGCAAATAAAATTATACTGTTTTTTTTTAAATTCTATTCATCAAAGAATCCTGGAAAAAGTGTCATGGTTTTCTACAAAACACAACCGTTTTCAACATTGATAATAAGAAATGTTTTCTGAGCACCTTATCAGCATAGTTGAATGATATTGGAATTATGTGAATTATGTACCACTGGAATGGAATAATGGCTGCTGAAAATTCAGCTTTCCATCATCTTAATAAATTACATTTTAAGACATTAAAATAAATGTATTTTAAATTGTTATACTATTTCACAGTATTACGGTTTTATACTTTGATCAAATAAATACAGCATAAGAGACTTCTTTCAAAAACAGAAATAAATTACCCTCCAAATGGTAGTGTGATGTGTGATCTCTCCTTAGTACTCGTGGCCAGTAAAGCTAAAGTGAAGTAGTTTTGTTTTTCTGTAGTTTTTCAATGGCTCTCGGTCATACTGACGACATCTGAGCAGTCGAAGGCTGCGCATTTATTGCATGGATGGAGCAAAAATCTTTCGTTGCTATAGCAAACAGACATCGGGCGCATTTTCTTTCAGAATCATAATTTGTCGATGGAGAGGAAAAGTTAAATACTATAGCATTTTACTCAGAAACTATAAAGTATATTTTCTACCTAATTCTGTGCAGAAAATGTAAATAATTGTTTGTAGTATATAAAACAATCATAAAATGGCCATTAGGAAAAAAATTATAGATTACAAATGATTGATTTGTCCAGCTGTGTATTTGATTTCTTGTAGCAAATTCAAAGTAAGATAAGAAAATTATTCCTTGTAAAAAAAAAAAATATATATATATAGGCCTACATAAAATTATTGTATTTGACATTTCTGTCACTTCTGAAATTATGGCTACGCCCCTGGTGTGACAGAATGTTAGCCTATACATAATACTTTTTAAAACTCTTTTTTTAAAGTCTTGGCTTACATAAATTTCTACATATGCCATGTCATGACATAGCATCATTAAACTAGCATCTAACAATGGACTAAAGTGTTGTGTAAATTGCCCCCTGACTAAGCATTTAAAGAATTTAGGAGAATCATTTAAATAATCCTGTGAATGCACTTTAAGAATGCAGAATCGAATCGAATCGTTATAATCGAATCAAATCAAATTTAATTGTGAATCGAATTGAATTGAATCGTTCTTAATTTGCAAAAATTGTTCTTGAATCGAAAACCTATGAATCGTGAATCGATTCGCTGTCTCCCCAAGGATTCACAGCCCTAATAAAAAATGAACCAATGGCTCAGCAGCGGAGCTGCATGAGCCTATGGCGACAAAGCCCACCAGAGCCCACCAGAATGGGCGGGGTCATCTGGCTATATAAGCGGACGTTTGCCACAGGATTCTCAGGTTACTTCGACTGAAGCGACGACTGAGTTTTGCGGCTACATAGCACGGCTAGCAATGCAGTACTCGTTCCCGTATCTCAGGGAACCGAGGTTACATTAGTAAACGAGTACATTCCCTATCGATACTTCACTCGTACTGCGTCTGCTAAAGACGCTATTGGAACACAGTACAATCATGCCGTGCTAAGGTAGAGGAACGACTATATAAGTAATATAACTTCCACAAGCAAGCAATGCCATAGGGAAGTTAACAATAACCCAAGGCTAAAATGGGCTGAACTCCCTGAGGTCACACCCGGCCTGGTTAATCGTTCCAGAGTACTCATGCAACTTCGGCACCCCAGGGGTTGAGAGCTGACAAGTAAACTAATACCAGAGAGCTTGAGCGCAATACAGTCAAGGGCTCTCTGTCGGACTTGTTTGTGCAGCGCGTGTCTCTTCAAGTGGAAAGGACCCTGGCCTGCAAGGCCGGGACTTCCAGGTTATAAAACCTAGCAAATGTGGACGGCGAGGCCCAGCCTGCCAACCTCACAAATTTCCGCAATGAACACACCGCTAGACCATGCCCAAGACGAGGCGATGCCTCTGGTGGAATGGGCCCGTACTCCGTTGGGACATTGTAGGCCCATGGAGGAGTACGCTAGTGTGATAGCGTCTACTATCCATCTAGAGAGTCTTTGCTTCGTGACCGGATGCCCTTTGGTGCGGTTACCGAAGCTAACAAAGAGTTGTTCCGACCGTCTGAAGGGGTCGGAATGCTCAATGTAAATTCTTAGAGCTCTGACGGGGCAGAGCAGGGATAACTCTCTGTCCTCTTCAGAGGGAGGAAGCGCAGAGAGCGCAATGACCTGTGCTCTGAATGGAGTGGAGAGCACCTTGGGTACGTAACCATGCCTTGGTTTCAGGACGACCTTAGAGTCGTTAGGCTAGAATTCCAGGCAGGCAGGGCTAATGGAAAGCACCTGCAGGTCTCCAATTCGCTTTACCGATGTTAGTGCCAGAAGCAGAGCAGTCTTCAGCGACAGTGACCGAAGGTTGGTAGACTGTAGCGACTCAAAAGGGAGCCCTTCAGGGCCCTCAGTACAGTGGGCAGAGCCCATGAAGGGACAGTGAGGGGGCGAGGTGGATTCAGCCTCCTGACTCCCCTCAAAAAGCGGACAACCGCACTGTTCCTGCCCACCGATTGGCCTGCAATAGGGGCATGAGAGGCCGCTATAGCTGCTACATAAACCTTGAGAGTGGATGGGGAGTGTCCCTTATCCAGCAGCTCTTGCAGGAATGACAACCCCACTGACAGATCGGAGGTAGAAGGGTCTTCGCCGTGGTTTAGGCACCAAGCGGAGAAAATAGACCACTTAAAGGCGTAGAGGCGTCTCGTAGACGGGGCTCTAGCCTCCGAAATCATGTTTAAAACTCGCTCTGGGAGGCTTGAAGGCTCCCGTCGAACGGCCAGAGGTGTAGGGTCCACAATTCGGGCCGAGGGTGCCATATTGTCCCATCCGCTTGAGAGAGGAGATCTCGTCTCATCTGATAGCCACAGCTGGTTCTTCCAGAGAGGGGCCACCAGGAGAACCTTGTGTCTCTGTTCCCTGATTCGCCTGATCACCTGTGGGATCAGGGCGATTGGAGGAAATGCATAAAGGAGGAGGTTGGGCCAATCGCAGGCCAACACGTCCTTGGTCTTTGAATAATAAATTGGACAGTGAGAGTTGTTTCCCAGATTTTCTGAACCATCTGCGGATGGAACGTCCACTCCTCTGAGGGGACATTGCTCCTTGTCGTCTGTGTCTGGATGTGATGCAAGTGCCATTGCTTCATCACTGCATGCCTTGACTGTGTCATCCAGATTCTCAGCAAAGCTTCCTTTGAACCTGGGATGCACAAAACTGGATATGTTCAGAACATTCTTCATTTCCTCTGTATATCTCGGCTGCATTAACAGGTCTTCTCTTATTACACATTTAATTTGTTTAGTGAGAGCACAGTCTTCCTCTTGATCTTGAAGAATCTCATTGTTAATGTGCTCCAAGACTGGCTTCAGGGAGGAAAGTGTGACTTGTTTCTCTGAGGCCAGGACATCAGTGAAATCATGGAGAGGACAAAGAAGTTGGCTTAGTTTCTCCAGGACAGTGATGTCAGTGTCTTTAGGCATGAGATGCCAGGTGCTTCTGTCTCCGGCTAGCACCCCACAGATGGCCTGCTGCTGCTCCAAGAACCTGGAAATCATTTCAAATGTGGATCCCCATCTGGTGACCACATCATGTATCAGTGCTCAGGGATGTTCAGTTCTGCCTGCTTCTTTTGAAGTTCACGTTTCCGTTTCCAGCTTCGAGAAAAGCCTTGAACCAAACATTATTAATATAAGACTAATATTAACTTATTAACTGAACTGTTATTGTCATCAACTATCATCCATACATATTCATTTTAATAATTTTTAACAATTAATCTAATTTTACACGTGTCTTTACTTTGTTTACGTTGCACTGAAAGCCCACAACTCTCACCGCTATGGCATTGATTGTAAGTGACACGTTTATATTTAATTCCCTACCAACATATTTCATTAAGTTATTTGCCACGTAATTTAACTCAGTTATTATGTATTACCTTTACTTGAGCGTGCAAAGCTGGGTGGTGAATCCCACAGGTGCTGCATCAAATTTGATGTATTCGATCCTTTAGCAGCAATCTTTTTACGGCACATTTTGCAAACAGGTGATCCGTCATCTTCAATGACACCCTGGTCATTCTTTGTGTACCCAAAATAATCTCAAACTGCAGACTTCAGGCGCTTCTTTGGAGGAAACAGAGTTTCGCTGCTAGGTGCCTCTGCCATAGTTAATCCAGTGTGCGTGCATAATAGCCTCCGTGTCTCTGATAAACTCGGAACTTTAAGCTGGCGCACCGCTGGCATAACTTTGTTTTAATTTTGCACAAGTTGCAACAGTTCCGTTCCGTGCAACAGAAACACGGTGTTGCGGAGCCTTTACGATTAATTAACCGTGACGATTTAAAGCGCAGTTAATAGTGAAATCGGTTAATCGTTGCATCCCTAGACGGAACTCGTGGTTTCAGCCAGCACTGAAGGGGCCGCATGCGAAGCAGGCCCAGCTGAAGTACCAGAGATGCTGAAGCCATGAGGCCCAGCATCTTCTGAAACGTCTTTAGAGGGTGAGGGGCTCCAATTTCGAATGAGGCCACGAGCTGCTGAATAGACAGTGCACGCTCTGGTGCGACTACCGCCCTCATTCGGGCTAAGTCGAGAACTGTTCCCAGGAACAATATCCGTTGGCTGGGGGACAGCGCGCTCTTGGCAAAATTGACCCTGAGTCCCAGGCATTCTAAGTGGCTGAGGAGGAAGGATCTGCGAAATAGTAGCTCATCTTTCGACTGGGCCAAGATGAGCCAGTCGTTGAGGTAACTCAGAACGCGGATTCCCATCTGTCTTAGCGGGGAAAGAGCC